TTGGTGTGGAGGGGGTGGCTGTGGGTGGTTCTGTGTCTTTGGGTGACGGGTGGGTTGAGGTCAGGGTGGGTCAGAGTGAGTTGGTGAGTTGGGATTAACACTGCTTTGAACAGTATTCCAGTTGTATCACAGTGTGTCAGCTTAATGTTAGAGGAAGCCCTAAGTGATGCAGGTCTGAGTGAGTGAGTGAGTTAAAATTTGACATCGCATTGGCAATATTGCAGCTATATCGCGATTGATGCAGGTCTGAGATGTTTACCACTCTGGTGAAACCAACGAGCACGGGTGTGGTGCAGACAAGCCTAGAAACATAATCATGGTGAACCAGGATTCGAACCCACGATTATAGGATTTTGGCATGCCCAAGGGATGCAACTCAGTGAATTGCAATCAGGGGTTTCGGAAACGGTCATATACGCCCGTCATGTCCGATTGGGAACCTCAAATGTCCGGTTTAAAATATTGCTTTCCGGACATTTAAATTTTTCTGTCAAGACATTTTCAAAAACAAACAACGCTACCTTCAGGTTCAAAATAATTGATGAGCGTTATCGTATCCAGTCAGCGAAATCAGGTGAATAAACAGGTAAAACAAACTTGGTCAATAAAAGTATCATCATTAGACATGATGATTAACCATTTAAAATGTATTTCCTGCTCTCCAAGGCATTGTTTTATATGCAGAGATTAAGATTACCGTGTGTATTTTCTCTTAGCCGGAAATAGCAATCAACCAATCTAAGTTAAAACATACCCAATGATACAACTTCAAAGAATTTTGATGCAATGGTTGGAAGAAATTGTATCTGAAATTATTATTTTATCAGGAATAATATATTCCAATATCGCATTTTAGTTGCAGCTTCCACCATATATACTTAAAATTATAAGAACCATAACCAAAAGCGTATCACTTTGGTACAGATGGTATACAGGATATTTTTGGACGTATGGAACGATTTTGACCAGTTACCGTAGGGACTTCCCGCACTACATGTATTTCGATTGCAAAAACGTTATGTTGACATTTTTTAGTAAAACTGTCTCAAATATGACTTTAAGCGAGTCATGGTACAGCATTTATTACCGTATTTGACGTAATAAGCGCCCTGCTCTAATAAGCGCCCACAGCGATATTTGCTAATATATTGGCAAGTAAACAATCCCAATTAGCATCCCTTCCGATTGATCAATGTACGCAAGACTTATTTATTCGTGTATAATACACACTCGTATGTTATATGCACCCTTAATTATGGGCAATTAAATTCTGGAAAAATATATCTGTGGTATATAAACAGTTCAGACCTTCAGCATAAACCACGAAATTTATCTTTCAACTCTGTTTTTTTCCACCAAAATAATATTCTAATAAGAGCCCCCTATTTCTAATTTTGAGAGCGCCCTGGGCACTTATTACGTCGAATACGGTATATGTGTATCCATTCTCTTGCAACTATAGTTCGTTTCAAGGCATCAATAGCAGTAATCTGACTGTGGTTGCTGTAAATAACGGTGAGTTTTGCAATCTACTGATCACTTCGCATACGATTTTGCTGAAATTATTGTAAACATTTTTATAATTATTGAATTAAATTTTGAATATAATTAATCAAATATATTGCAAACATTAGTCCAGAAAACAATGAAAATTTTTTTTATTACCAGATATTATAATAATAGGATTAACATTGAGTACTTCGGTTCGGATTTGTTGACTGGTATTTTCGGGGGTTATGTGATCGCGGTGATCAGCTGATAATGTTTTCTGAGATGGGGGGAAAACATTGTGTCATTGGAAAACTTGAGTTTATTAAAGATGTTAGTAAATTTTGGGAGCCATGCTTTACCGCGCTATAACCGATTTAGCGCAATAAAGGGAACACTTACATAGCAACTTGTAATGTCTGTGAAAAGTCGTACTAAGATACGCTATTTGAATGGGGCGTGACCTAAATGCAATGTCCGATTGGGATTTTAAAATTTCCGGACCCCTGATAGCAATGCCTAAGACAACGGCCACGTAAGGCCCCGAGGTGGGACAGAGGTTAGGTGAGTGGGACAGAGGTTAGGTGAGTGGGATGTGGGTGAGATTGGTCAGAGGTGAGGTGAGTGGGATGTGGGTGAGATTGGTCAGAGGTGAGGTGAGTTGGGATGTGGGTGAGATTGGTCAGAGTTGAGGTGAGTGGGATGTGGGTGAGATTGGTCAGAGGTGAGGTGAGTTGGGATGTGGGTGAGATTGGTCAGAGTTGAGGTGAGTGGGATGTGGGTGAGATTGGTCAGAGGTGAGGTGAGTTGGGATGTGGGTGAGATTGGTCAGAGTTGAGGTGAGTGGGATGTGGGTGAGATTGGTCAGAGGTGAGTCGGGATGTGGGTGGGATTGGTCAGAAGTGAGTTGAGCTGGGATGTGGATGACATTGGTCAGAGGTGAGGTGAGTGGGATGTGGGTGAGCTTGGTCAGAGGTGAGGTGAGTTGGGATGTGGGCGAGATTGGTAAGAGGTGAGGTGAGTTGGGATGTGGGTGAGATTGGTCAGAGGTGAGGTGAGTTGGGATTGGTCAGAGGTGAGGTGAGTTGGGATGTGCGTGGGATTGGTCAGAAGTGTTTTTGTTTGTTTGTTTGTTGTTTAACGTCGCACTCAGCAATATTCCAGCTATATGACGGCGGTCTGTAAAATAATCGAATCTGGACCAGACAATCCAGTGATCGACATCATGAGCATCGATCCATGCAATTGGGATCGATGACATGTATCAAACCAAGTCAGCGAGCCTGACCACCCGATCCCGTTAGTCGCCTTTTACGACAAGCATAGTCGCCTTTTACGGCAAGCATGGGTTGCTGAAGACCTATTCTACCCCGGAATCTTCATGGGTCGGTCAGAAGTGAGTTGAGTTGGGATGTGGGTGAGATTGGTCAGAGGCTAGGTGAGTGGGTGGGGTTTCATGAGGAACAGGGGGTTCGGAGTTGGGGTTGGGTATGAGGTGGGGTGGGGTGTGAGGTGGGGTGGGGTATGAGGTGGGGTTGGGCATGAGTAGGGGTTGGGCGTGAGGTGGGGTGGGGTGTGAGGTGGGGTTGGGCGTGAGGTGGGGTTGAGCGTGGGGTCGGACGGGGCGTGAGGTGGGGTTGGGTGTGAGGTGGGGTTGGGTGTAAGGTGGGGTTGGATGTGAGGTTGGGTGGGGCGTGAGGTGGGGTTGGGTGTAAGGTGGGGTTGGGCTTCAGGTTGGTGGGGTGTGAGGTGGGGTGGGGCATTGAGTGGGGCATGAGGTGGGGTTGGGCATGAGGTGGGGTTGGGTGGGGTGGGGCATGAGGTGGGGTTGGGTGTGAGGTGGGGTTGGGCGTGAGGTGGGGTTGGGTGGGGCGGGGCGTGGGGTGGGGTTGGGTGTGAGGTGGGGTTGGGCGTGAGGTGGGGTTGAGTGTGAGGTGGGGTGGGATGTGAGGTGGGGTTGGGTGTGAGGTGGGGTGGGATGTGAGGTGGGGTTGGGTGTGAGGTGGGGTGAGGCGTGAGGCGGGGTTGGGTGTGATGTGGGATTGGGTGTGAGGTGGGATTGGGTGTGAGGTGGGATTGGGTATGATGTGGGATTGGGTGTGGGATGGGGTTGGTGTGGGGTGGGGTTGGGTGTCAGGTGGGATTGGGTTTGGGGTGGGGTTGTGTGTGAGGTGTGAGGTGGGGTTGGGTGTGAATCTGGGTTGGGTGTGAGGTGGGGTTGCATTGTGAGGTTAAATGATGAGGAAGGGTTTGATAATGAGGATTATTTAGGGAATTAGCAACTTATTACATAGATGACACTCTGATTGAGACTTGTACTTTTCAACTTGATCTTATACATATTATACCAAGCACTGCCAAATCCTATTCATATAAACAAGGAACAGTCTCACTGTATCAGGAAAAGTGGAGTGGAGTGGAGTGAGTATGGTTTTACGCCGCTTTTAGCAATATTCCAGCAATATCACGGCGGGGGACACCAGAAATGGGCTTTACACATTGTACCCATGTCGGGAATCGAACCCGGGTCTTCGGCGTGACGAGCGCACGCTTTAACCACTAGACTACCCGACCGCCCTGTATCAAGAAAAGGCTGACATAGCACAAAGGGTTTAATCTTATGTTTATAAACATTGTTGTTCGGAAGACCCACTGAACAACTACATTTACCAACAGAGATTACATCATCTGTCCGACAGTAAACAAATGTTAGGACTAATGATGGAGGACCTTATCAAGAGTGAAATTTGGTTTGGTATTTTCATTTGACAGACCTGGAAAGCTGTTTGCGTTTTTTTGTGTTTGTGTTTTTGATTCAGCAATATTCAGGCTATTTGATGGTGGTCAGTAAATAACCAATTCTGGACAGTCCACAGAATTAAGACTCGATGACATGCACCAACCAAGTCACCAAGCTCAAGTACACGATTCCTTATGTCGCCTAGCTCTTACGACAGGCATCGGTGTAACAGATCTTCACAGGTCAAATCCTTAATCTAGTGTAAATGTGTGTTGAATGTTACCAAATCTTGTTAACTGATATGCTCAACACTTGAAGGATGCTGACACAACAATTAAGAAACAAAAAAACCATTGTCTGCTGATCAAGGAACTGAAAGTTCAGTCATCTCATCAGAAAATAGTTCATTTTCAACGTTATTATACATGCCTGAGTGAAATGTGAATATTAATTTGACACATTATAGCCATTCCAAATGCTGAAGTTTAGACGAGACAAAAATATTTTATTAACATAAAAATAAACACCTTAGACGGCCAAACAACCCATACAATATCTGCGACACGAAACTGCTGGAATTGAACATGTCTGAGGCATGCTTCGTTATGTTCACCCATTTGTACAGTAAGCACAACGTCAACAGAGAGCCGGCTGTCGGCGAGATGAAATAGTCACATCGACCGTCAACTTCAGCCGTGCCATTTATCCACAGGGCGATACCTAAACACATTTTCACTATGCCGGGAGCATGGTTAGGTTTTGAGTACCTTACCTGAAGCTGGACGTCGCGCACAGTGACAGACGAACGCGAGGTGCTGTCGATTTATAAGGCCACCTCTCACGCCACTTCGTGATCAACACAGCATTGCCGTGCGTGTCGCATCAGCCGATGTTTGTATGACCCCTGACCTAGCTAATAATAGATATACGGACTCTTCCGAAACAGCAGATATTCACCTAAAGTGATATTTATGATATGAATTATGTGTTATGCGTGTCGTGGTGAAAACTATACATAAAAGCCGAATCTGAAAGGATATTTACCTGTCCAAAATTCTGAAATAGCAGTCGAGACAAAAAAATACTGTATTCGTGAAGGCTGGTCTCATTTCCTATAAAACACACGCAAGAGATATTGAGTCTGACGCAACCGACACTGCTCATGTCCCAATTCTTGAACATCCGGGATAGAATATAGGTCTTCAGCAACCCAGACTGACTAGCGACAGTTATCAGCGAGGACCAATTATCGCTAACTCCCCGTTATAGCGCATACGTGATCGCATCTCATTTTACTTTAGCTCGTTTTGATGAGAAGCGAGAATTTTTTTTTCAGAAAATGATGAACAAAACGGACTCCTTTGAGGAATTATTTAAAAGAACCCACCATAATCACCTTGCTCAAATACAACTCAGAGCATATATGGTCTCTGTACAACTTTAGAAAAGAAACGCGGGCGGTGTCACGTGACTAATTCACGCGAAAATATAAATCTAACAATCTAACACGATGATCGATGCACTTTCAGTTTTGTCATTGCTTTCTATCTGTCTGTCATTTCTTCCCAAAAATACAATTCTGAAACCAGCTATATTTCCAAAATTGCATAACCTGTATTTTGTCCCCGGACAGAAATAAGCGCATTTGCTCATAGTTTCACAAAAATTAAAGTTAAATATTGGTACAGCCATCTTTGTACACGGAATGTCAGAAATAACATGAAAACAATGGCGATACCTGGTCGGTGACCAGTATGCTTGTAAGAGGCGACTAACGGGGTCGCCTGTTCAGACTCGCTGACTTGGTTGATGCATGTCATCGCTTCCTAATTGTGTGGATCGATGCTCATGATGTCCATCACTGGATTGTCTGGTCCATACTCGATTATTTACAGACTGCTGAGTGCGGCGTTAAAAAAACAAACAAACATTTCCTAATCATTTAATAGTATCAATGACTGAACGTCTCTTGGTCAATGGGAAAGTAACACAAATCATTCACAAAATTAAGAAATCTGGTAAAATGACTTACTGTTGACCTACTGCCTTACGCCTTGCATACCTTGATTGTGATTTAGTCTTTTCATAATAAAGAAACATCAAGTAAGAAACGCTATTTATCTTATACCCTCTTTGAACTCTCCATAATCTGTCTTTTATTTAGAAAGCGTTCAACCAAACTCACTCTTTGATTTTCGTAGAGCATATTTTGATTTTGAAGGGACAAATAAAGACAATCTTTAAGTTGGCTGTTCCCGAAAATGAAAAAAAATGCCGCCCGGAATATCCCCCAAAATAAAGCGTTCACTGGACATGCTGAGAGTTCTTTAAATGATAATGTGTTGTTGGATCCAGAAAATGTTTGGCTTCTCTCATCTCAGACAACAACCAACAACCCACCACTATATAATGATCGACCCTCCATCGCTTCACATCGCGGCCTGTTTCATGGGCGTGTGACATGTACAATCCCCAAACTGAATGTCCGCACTGAGATGCTCCATGTTGGTTCAGCAGTAGGTTTGTATGGCCCCAGACCTGTATATGTACCGGTCGCCCGGGTGGAGGTGCATGCCTGTATTATCGGTGATTTCTACATACTTTATTGGGGCGGTCGGGTAGCCTAGTGGTTAAAGCGTTCGCTCGTCACGCCGAAGACCCGGGTTCGATTCTCGACATGGGTACAATGTGTGAAGCCCATTTCTGGTGCCCCCCGCCGTGATATTGCTGGAATATTGCTAAAAGCGGCGTAAAATCATACTCACTCACTCATTTACATAATTTATTAAGCATTGTCCTGATGCCGAGAGGCTTCAAATCTCAAATCTATTTTTTCGCATATTGTCTTCCCAAATATACTGATTGAAAACGAAAATATCAGGCCTCAAAGTTTAAATTTTTACCAAGTAGCCATATGGCTACAAGTATTTTATTCCAGGTAACCAGTGGGAAAAACAAGCAGTCAAGCCAATATTGTTAGTAGCCAAAAGCTTTTGAAATTATCTTTATCAAATAACTATTATAATATGTACAACTTACAGCACTATAGTCTTGAAATTGTATCTTTATGGAAACTGTACTTGAATTTTGTTACTTGTGACTTGAACAATGATGCAGTTTATGTTACAAGATTTTATAGGTATATCATCGCTTATCCAGTGAGCATTGTCAACTAAAATAAAGTACTAATTACATAATTTTGTATGTATTTTGGTTCATTGTCGATTTTAGGAGGAATTATTTGCGAGTACAATTATTAGCAGACGTGTTTTCCAAGATCAGCTGTTATTTACTTTTGTGGCTACAGATGTGTAGCAATAGAATTTAGTCGATATTTATCTAGGTAGTCATTTGGCTACCCCTGAATTTTTTTAGAGAGAGAGAGAGAGGGGGGGGAGAGAGAGAGAGATACAAGTATATGAACCACTGGTGACGTGGCCATGCAAAACAGCTTGATTGTATATCCGTCTGCCATTATGGAATGGGTAGTCGATGCAGCCGTGTAATCGTTTAGGAAATTTTACCATATATACTAATGGAAGTGAAATTCTTGAAAACTGAAAACAAAACTCGGGGGAGCTCATGACGATCCGGAAGGCGGTCTCTTTTGCCGTGATAATAACAAGACTAGTCATGACGAAATGAGTATCTGTTTGACCCGGAAGTTGAATTTACAGGTGCCCGATCACGGTACCCCCGATCGTGACCAACTCGTGTTATTCCGGGACAAGCTGAATGACTCGTGCCCCTGTCGTGGCCATTTTTGTGACTGGGTACCGTCTAAGCGCAAACGGGCATTGCTATAAGAATCGTCAACTAGTAAACTGTTGCGTAATGATTCACATATATCATATATATTTCCAGATGCTATTGAAAACACATCGGGACTTACATTATTATACAGAATGATTGAACACATTTAACTGTATCTTGGATAAATATTTCAAAGCAAGACATGTGTAATATATAAAAAATATTCCCGAGGGATTCTTTGACCGAAGTACTTGAAGTCATACGCGCATTCTGATTGGTTTGTCTTATTTCCGCACATAACATTAATCTTGCAGCCTTTCTGAGTTTCCTTCTAATTTATCACGTCATCTTCCCGAGGCAAGGGAGTGAACTGACTATAAAGGTTCAGTTTCCACCCTTGCCGAACTAAGATTGAATTCCGGACTTACAATTTGGCTGGACTGACAAGTCTATACATCGTCCAATCAAAATAGCCCAACAAACTAGACATTCGGTTCGTAAACAACATGGATTTCAACCAGCAGATTTCGGTCGACTGAAGGATTTGCAAAGCATGTGTACCGCCAACTGGGCGTCGACAGATATTTTGCAATTTTTTTCATGTTTTTTCAAGGTGCTCAAGTGATTTGATGCACTTTGCGAGGTAAGGCCCGTTTTATATAGATCTTGATTATCGATCAGATGGTCTTGACTGAGGGGGGGGGGGGGGGGGGGGGGGGGGGGCGCCATTTTATTAAGCAATTGCAAGTGATATGGGAGGTGGAATCTGATTGGTCAGTAGGAGTGACACAGAAGGGGCATAACTCGTAATAGCCATGGGAGGAGCTACGATCGAGCTGGACATCCATGTGATCATCTTCCCGAGGCAAGTGAGTTAACTGACTATAAAAGTCCAGTTTCTACCCTTGCCGAACAAGGCTGGTATTATGGAGTTACATTTTGGCTGGGCTAACGAGTCTATGCAAAGTCCAATCGATATCGCGCAAAAAATCGAAATCCGGTTTGTAAACTGTCGTGCTGATTTCGGTCGATTGCAGGATTTGCAAAACATGAGCACTGCCAACTCCTTGTCAACTGATATTTTCCAAATCTTTTCATGATTTTGTATCAAGGTGCTCACGTGATTTGATGCACTTCGCGATGCATGACCCGTTTTATCACAACATAGATCTTGATTATGATTGTTTGAATCAAATGCAAGTGATACGAGAGGTGGAATCTGATTGGTCCATAGGAGAGGTATATAAGGGACATAACTCGTAATAGCCACTGGTGGCGCTACGGTCGAGGCCGGGAATTCCAGCCTAGTTCGGCAAGGGTGGAAACTGGACTTTTAAAGTCAGTTAACTCTCTTGCCTCGGGAAGATGTACATAGAACTACTACAGGCATTATATAATCGAGCTGAATCAATATGCAATGTACGGCTACCGATAGATCTATCGAGGGTCCCAATCGAGTGTGACGCACCCGAGCACTTTCGCGACTATCAATTTGATTTAACGTGAAAGTTTAAGCGTCGTGAAATGATGTCAGTTTAAACTACATGTATCTGGACATATATCTAGACTAACGTTGGATGCTCCGGTTGTGCCATCATGAAGTGTCCCCATTCGAAGCGTATTTTGTGACATTGCTTCCGAAAATGTTTGTTCATGAATAACTGCACGACCTGAACACTCAAAGTGAACAGTTCCGATACAAATCATTCGAAAGCTCCGAGGAAGTGTGCCTGTCTTCTGCTTTTGTGGCCCAAAACATCCCAAATGTGAACAATAACGATCTCTAGCGTAAAACGCTGTGAGTAGATCACAGTTGTCTTTTCTTGTTTCGATGGTGACCTTGCCCTTCGTTCGAAGCTGTTACTGACATGTAAGCAGACTTGAGTTTGTTGATTTTCACGTCTTCAGTATAGGGTCGTACAGTTAACATAAGCGTCTTTGGCGTACACTCTGATTTACCTCTTCCAAAATGGTACGGACAGGATATAAATTCAGCTGATAGATGGGGGAAACTGAGCCATTGTGATTGCACAGCCAGGACCCCGTCGGTGCAAATGATTGTTGGTCCGAGATTCAAAGCGCGGCGCTATTGCACTTATTAAGTTGTCCTGCGTACTAGTGAGTGAGTGAGTTACGCCGCTTTCAGCAATGTTCCTGCAATGTC